CGGTTCCCACACCTGGCCGGCCGCTGCGGGCGGCTGCCGGGGCCGCTCACCTGTTCTGGAAGGCAATCAGCAGCCGGGGGTCCAGGATGTTCTCCTCGGGCTCCCACGTGTTATATCTTCCAAGGGAAAAGGGGGGGACATGGCGTCAAAAAAACTGAGCCAGCGCGGCGGCCTCCAGGTGGGAATGACACAGGCCCTGCTCTGTCTTCATGCACCCAAAGCTGCTTCGCTGTGGATGTGGGCTGGAGCGTGGATTTCTGCAGGCCTGACGCGGCCCCTGATACTCCCCCCCCCCAAGTCAAAATAAACACGCAGGGGCAGGAAGGGGAGGGGTGAGGAAAATGAAACTAGCCGTTTATTGAGCAGTTGTCAAGAATTTTAAGCATGTTACTGCGACATGTTCCAAAGCCACTCTGCTCACCAGGAACCCTGCGTGCAAAGCAGCCCCAATGCCAAGTCGCCGTCCCCTGCTGCCTCCCCAGCCGCGGCCCCGCGAGGACTTCGGGCGTTTGACCCCTAATCCTATCACTGTCCGCCCAGCGGCCCCCCACACCCCCTCGGGGCCCTGGAGCCCGCTGTCACGGGCAAGCACCCCCCCCAAATACTCAGCAACACAAAAATCTGCCTCTGAGTGTGAGTGTGTATGTGTGTGTGTGTGTGTGTGCGCGTGCCTGCGCGTCAGGCTCCATCCGGTGCCTTCGCATTTTAAATTAAAAAAAGAATTCGCCACCGAAAGCTCTGCAGCCGCAGCGCCCAGCATTTGCTGCCTTCCCCCCTCTCCCTGCACCACCAGGAGGGAGGAGGCACACAATTGCATTTTCGTCGCTTTTTAATTTTTTTTTTTTTTTTTTTTTTGGTTTTGCAATATGGAGCCGTTCGGTGGAGGGAAAGGGGAAAGGAGCCATTTTCTGCTGCACATCAGCCAGTGCCTGCGCCCGCCCTCCCTCCGCCGGCCTCCCCGGCTCGGCCCGCGCCTCTCCTGCTCCGGCTCCTTTTAGCGCATAAATTAGTGATGGCATTTCCCGGAGCGCGGAGCACAACACAGGGCGCCGGGCTCGGGCTCGGCGGCTCGGCTTCCCCAGTGCCTGCCACCGACTTCCCCACCCCCTCCTC